ACGGGGCACAAAACAAAAGGTCGTCCAAATATGGAATAACCCCTACGCCCCTTAACCTCAGAGGCGCCAGAGCCTCTGCCAGCACTTTGGTAAAGATTCGAGGTGCTGAGGAGAGGCCAAATGGCAGAGCCCTGCACTGGAAGTGCAGGACGCCTGCCGGACCCCTTACTGCAAACCGCAGTAGATATTGTGACGATTGTCTCACCGCTATGTGGAAATAGGCGTCTCGCAAATCTATAGTCGCTAGGAACGACCCTGGGGCCAGCAACTCTCGGATTGAAAAGATCGATTCCATACGGAACCTCTTGTATAGTACCACTTTGTTGAGAGGCTGCAGATTGAGAATCAGTCTGCATTTCCCCGAAGGCTTTATCCTGGAGAAGATGTGTGAGTAAAACCCCCTGTTCTCCTCCGAAGCCGGCACTCTCATAATGACTCCCTGGTCCCACAGCTCCTGAAGGGCCCCCGTCATTGCCTCCGATCTCCTCCGGTCTTTGGACAGGGAAGTAATCAGAAGCCTCGACGGGGGTCGCTCCGTCAGCTCTATTTTGTAGCCGTGCAATACCAGCTCCAAAATGTATTTGTTGCTGGTCAGCTTCCCCCAGAGTGGGAAGAATTCCCCCAATCTTCCTCCCACCCTGAGCAACCGGTCATTGCGATTTATTGGGCTGCTGAGGGGGGTTAAAGAGGAAACTGCCTTTAGACTTCCCTTTGTTAAAAGCCCATGGTTTAGATTGGTCCTGCTTCTTGCCATAGAAGCCCCTCTTTTCTTTGCGGAAATTCTGCCCCCTTTGGCCACGAAAAAACTTCTTCCCCTGCTGCTTGGGCGGCAGTGGGAAGCCTTTTTTCTTATCTGTGGACCTATCCAGCACTGCCTCCAGCTCTTGGCCAAAGAGCAAGTCACCTTTAAAAGGCAACCCGCACAGCTTCGCTTTAGAAGCTGCATCGCCAGACCAAGTTTTGAGCCACAACGCCCGCCTGGAGGAGTTGATCAAAGCTGTAGTCCGAGCAGAATACCTGACTGCTTCAGCCAAGGCGTCCGCAATATAAGCGGCAGCCTTGCTCAGTACCGGGAGGGAACCTAGCAACTGGTCATGTTCCGTACCAGACTCCAGGTGGGTTTGTAGCTGATTCAGCCACACCCCCAAGGTCCTGGCCACACAATAGCCAGACCAGGTTTGAACCCAGCACTCACCGATTCCCATCCTTTCCTGAGCAAAGCCTCCGCTTTTCTATCCATCGGGCCTTTCAAAGCCCCCATATCCTCAAGACAGGTCAGTCTTTTTCGAGACTTTCGCTAAAGAGGCATCTATCTTAGGACATTTGTCCCAAAGACCTGCATCTTCCTCCGCAAAGGGGAACATGCGTTTATGACCAGCAGAAAAAAACTCTCTTTTCTGGGTGCTGCCACTCCACTTGGATCATGTCCGAGAGTGATTTATGGACCGGGAAGGTGCGTCCTTTGTCTGAAGCCCCTTATATAGTTTGTCATGCACCGAAAGCTCTGTGGACTCTTCCTTAATATCCAGAGTATCCCCTATGGCTTTCAACAGCTCATCTGTCTCACATGATGGAAATTCAGAGTTAGGACTTACCGGTAACTCTATTTCCATTAGTCTTCCAGGACAGCATCACGAGATTCCATCTCGTGATGCTGTCCTGGAAGACGTTATGGGAAAAAGGAATTTCGCAGCTGGACTGCTACGCAACTCCCCCTCCGACTCATCATGCTCCTGTGACTCATCCTGAGAACCCGAGGATTCACTGGGCGCTTGCTTGCTCACTGTGCTTTCTGCGTATCCCGTAGAGCTGCCTGCCCCCGAAGTAACTGGCAAACTGGTATCCACCAGTGTACTCACCGGGGTCTGGAGCGCCGACCTGAAAGACTGAAATGTAGTAACCATTTCCTCTCTCATTGAGTCCAAAAGCCCCTTAAACATTCCGGCTGACTCTTTTGCAACTATTTTCTCTAAACAAACTTTGCACAAGGGTTTGGACCATGAAGCTGACATTTTTGCAAAGCAAGAGGCACACTTCTTCCCTTTTGGGCGAGAGCAACCTGCTTCAGCGAGGGGCTTGTCCTCCACGGCTCTGACCTGCGTAAAACAAGAGTGATGCAATCAGCCAGTGCTCTGCCCGCATGCAAACCATGTTACACATAACACTACCCGGCTTGTCCTGTAAACAGGCCCCCAATACAAGCCAGGTAAAGGAAGGGGAGAATCGACAAAAGCAAACTCGCCTACCTTAGCGCCCGTGCCATGCTCTCCCAGATCTGGAGTAGCAGCACCCGGCCCGGCATCTGGCAGCTCACTGCCGACCACGCTATCGGCCCTCTCCTGACGTCCCCACCGGCCGTATGTGGTCTAGGTCGGTTATGGACAGTGTACAGCTGATGAGTGGACCAACTCCCTTCCCGGGACACTACTGCCCGATTAGTCGTGGCCGAGCGGCGTCTGCTGTTATCTGAGCTCACAGCTCCTTATGTGTCTCCCGGCACGAGGCTGCTTCCGAACCCGGAAGTGGCGCGCCGGAAGTGACGACGCGGCACGCACTACGGATGGCGCTGGCGCCTAAAAGTGACGTCACCCGCCACATTCCAGCCTTCCACCATCGACACCAGCAAGGGGCCCAGAGACGCTGCAGCCCTCCGCGCGAGGCCAACACCCCCACGCTGCTGAAGACTGCACCGCTCCCCATACCATCAGGTAAGTGCCCCCCCACGCTGCTAGGTATCCGGGACCCCTGGACTACAGCCCCCAGCTGCCTCCAGTCCCCGTACCCCTCCAATGCTTCCCCTGTTGTCGCCATCTCATGTCCACAACAGGGGCTCACGCACACCCCAGGTTACTACACCTTGCCACTGCTGTACACCAGGGGGGGCCACCATCTGGCGCCTATTCACGTGCAGGAGGATGGTTGCCTTCCCTGAGTGATGGAAGGGAACCTTGGCCAGAAATCGGGTGGGGGTCCGATAGGGAATCCCTGTAGGCACTGCAGCAGGTAAACCTGGAGTAGGTCCCAATGCCTAGCAGGGTAAGGCTCAGCCCAAAGGCAAACAAACATGAGCCCTAAAATAACAAACATTACGATGTCCCTGTGTAGCCGGCGGAAACACAAAAAAACTGACTTGGTATGGAAGGAGGAGTCTATTTATTTAATGTGGTTGGTGTTTCCTGTTGCAGGCAGGCGGAGCCTATATCTCGAGAGCTGTCCTGGAAGATGACTGGGGAAATAAAGTTATACTCACCTGATCCAGAGCCAGCTTGCTTAGACCAGCACCTAGAGCCTCCTTCCCCCCCCCCCCCCCCCCCCAGCACCCCCAACTCCAGCACTTTGTGTCAGAGCTGACATGCTGCAAGGTATGATTAATATGCTATGCAGCAGCCCCTTCATGCACAGCATACACCTTATTAGAGCTATGTTACATGCCTAGTGCTGTGTGTAAAAATTTAAGATCTATAGGCTTAGAAAATGAAGTCCGTAAATCGGGGGTCGTCAAATCCATCAATTGCAATCTACCAGTCTATCATGGGCAGGTGATGGGCAGATCATGTTCCTGCTGTGCCCACCCTTCATCTGCAAAGCATCACATAGCTATGTGCCTTTCTGTGCTGATCCTCACTGTTCCTCCTCTAGCTTCCATCTCCGGCTCATGTATGCAGGCCCGTCTTTAATACTGATCGGACGCTGGGCAAACATTTTCTTGGCCCCCCTTCCCCAGGAATTTCTCTCACCTCCCCAACACCCAGAAAAAAAAAACAGCACACATAGATCATAGACTTCTCTCAAAAAAACTTTGACTGCAGGATTTCAAACCGATTGCAAGCTCAGCCATTTATATTAGGGGTGCACCATAAGGTCCCGTATATAATCACATTCTATACAGTGTATAAGACATGACGCCGAGGGACATTCCATTGCTGCAGTGTAGGTGTAGACAGTTTGGAGGGAGCACTATCACAGAGGATTGGGTTAGTATAACTTATTTTCAACCCTAGACCAAAAAGCAGTAAACCCTTGCTGTGCAGGGGCAGCCCCACTGCAAGGCTTAATCATTTTCCCTGGATTTCTGCTTCAAAGCAGACCTGTGATTAAAAAAACACATCTGTTGAACATCTAAGATCATTGCATGCCCATTTTTCCCCTTTAGAAACCAGCAGAGTGAAAGATCAGTTTTTATACCAGCCTCTGCGCTGCACATGCATCACTCAGTAATCATTCTTTTAGCAGCAGTGCAGATTAGAATGGAAACTAAGAACCAAAAAAAGGAGTGTACTGGCGCAGAGATCGTGCAAGGGTTCTCACGCTAAACTTCTACATGGCGCCTCATACTATGTGGGCATGAGTGGGAGTCCATTCTAATACAAGCTGTGCTGTGATTACATGAAGTAGACCGCTGTACACACTGGCAGCAGAAGACACAAAAGTAAAACAATGCAGCCATGCGTTTCTAAATGTTATAACAAATACCGTACAATGTCAGATCCAGTATTTTTTTCGGCTTCCTCTGGATATACTGCAGGTTTATAGAGTTTCTGGGATATGATTTGAAGTGTATTTTTGTCTTGTAACTGAACTGATGTATCTTATATCATGTTTTCAACTAAATACTGGCTATATACCAGCCAGTTTCTCACTTAACCCCACAGACCAAGAAAGGTCAGAGCAACCCTCCACCAGGCTATTGTATTCCGACTGCGGCAGCCATGCCACCGTCAGAACGCCCAAACAGTGAAGGCAGCTCATTGGCTGCATTCACTTTTTGGGCAAAAATTTTCAGGCGGCCGCCTGACAAAAAAGTGGATAAAAAAATTGACTTTGAATGGGGGTACCAAGGAGGGTACACACTGCTCAAATGTATAGCCATCTTAAACCTTTGTTATTCTGTGATTGTGGACCATGTATAAAAGGATATAGGCACAGTAAATCAGAGGATTAATACATCATTTACAGATATCCACACTGACTATACAAAGATAAAGAGGCACATACAGAACTTTTTTTGGTTCCAATATTTTTAATTACTGATATTTCTAGAACATTAAACAGTCTTGGCAGCCCGGGTGCGCTTCTTTTTCACCACAACTGGCTTCTGACTTCTCAGGATAGCACTGGCACGACGAAGAGCCGCCTAAAGGAAACAATGATTCAGTTACTAGTCACAAAAAACGAAAAATTTCCAGTTCTGCTTCTACAGTAATGTCAGACTAAACACACAAACCAGGCTGTACTAGAGGCTGTGACTTGGCTCTAAGTTCCAATGCCCCCATTCCCATATGTTCTGTGCCTATGTGCTACTCCTCATCCACCTTCCTGTGCTTCTGTGTCATGGATCTTCCCAAAGTTAAAGACCAATAAACTTTCTCACAAGGTATTTGGGCATGTCAACAGGTTGAATGCTTAAAGTCTACCTTTGGTATATATAAAACAAAAAACAACCCACTCTCAACACAAAACTTTTCATTTCAGTATGCAGTATGGCTACCCCTGGCACTGCAAGGGTTTACTGCTTCTTGTTGTCTAGGGGGATTGTGTATGAACTTTTACTATTTGATCTCTGCTTTCGCTGACTCCAAGACCAGTGCCCACAGCATCTCCTCCGCCCCTACAGCAGGGAGAGGCCCAGTGATGTCACCACATCTAATCCAGAGCACATAGTCCTGTACTATATGTGAGGACCCTGAGGGCCATTCCACAAGCTGCCGCAGAGGGGAGAGGGGATAAGGTAGGTAAAACTGCTTTACATATCCCCACAGAAAAAACAAGCAGTTAACAAGTGCAGTGCGGGGGATTATATACAGTGGTACCTCGGTTCAAACTTCATTCGTTACACAATTCTGGTCGCAAACTGAATCAAACTGCAATCAGAGCACAATCTCGACTAGAGGAAGCCATGACCACGTGTCAAAGCAGGGAATAAGGCGGTGGTCGTGTTTGCGAACTGAATTGTTCATGAACAGAGGTAGCACTGTATATCATTTTTAATACCCAGAAATAGGCTTCAAAGAAAAATTCTGGAAAATCTAAAAATGAACCCTTGCAAAAAAGGGGCTACCCCTGCAGTGCAAGGGTTAAGTGCTCACTGAGGGAATTAAAGAAAATACTCACCTGATCCTCAGTCCTGTAAGCACCCACCTCTCCACCAGAGGCCAGGGAAGAAGAGGCTGCTGGGACAAGTCTAGCAGCCAAGCGGGAGGGAGGATCAGGCGAGTACATTTTCTTTATTTTAGAAAACAAAACGAGCATTTAACCCTTGCAGTGCAGGGGTAGCCTCACTGCAAGGGCTAATTTTTAGATTTCCTCAAGTTCATCCTTCAGTACACTTCCTATTGAAAATAACCTTTGAGAATACAAAATGTTGGACTTCTTTTGAAAGACGCTAGCACAAGAGCTGTTCTTCCATCTTTGTTTCAACAGGTCACTAATCTGGAACAAGTATGCAGGTCCATTGGTGATGTACTTGTTCCAGTCAGTGAATCATACATTAGGACAAACATCAAAGTCGGAAATGGCATAGTGGGTATTTCTATGTCCACACTTTCAAGGTAAAATGAATGTATGGTCAGTACAATGATTTATTTAGATATACATACAAGGTCAGCTTAATGTAAATCTTGTCAATGTTTGTCATTCATAAAAAAAAACATTTCTATGTATAATCTGTAATTATATGTGTACACAGGGCAGCCATATTTGTTCATTACAACTCACAATTTGCTTGCTGCTTTGCAAAACAAAAAACCCGCTGTGCTTTACTGCTCCTATTTACAATGCAAGTCACTTGAGATCAATGAAAACACTACACTCCATATCGGGCTGGTTATCCTTTCTAAATAGCTGTTTAGCTGTCACACACAGTCACTGTAACAGCTACTGACCTGGATTCTAATAGCCAATCACAACTCTACATTTAATACATAAAAAAACACATGAAAAAGCTTGTAAAATTGAGAAATTGCCATAGAACCTTTCTAAGGTAAACACTGCGAAAAAGGACCCTTGTTTAACCCCTGGGGAGCAATTTTACCATTTTTGTTATGAGAGTTTGTTTTACCATAATTTCCATCTTCCTCATCCATTGCATCGACACATATTATATGCCGGTTTTTGAAAGGACTAAATGGGCTTTAATTTGATGCAACATATGCATATATAAATTCTATATCTTTTTTATAAAAAGTACAAAAAATAAATAAAAAGCATTTTTCACATCTTTGGCAATAATGTTAAAAATAAATTATTTGAACCTATGTCTGGAATGTCAGTAAATTTTGGGAGTTATAGATCACAAAATACAAGGAGTGAAATACAATTTCAATATCGTATGTTTGTCTCCCATCTTTAATAGCCTCCTTGGCACTATATTTTTTTATTAAACTTTTTTCCTTTTTAAAAATGTCAATATTTTTTTATTGATCTGTTCGCTCAGCTATGTGAGCCCTCGCAAGGTGACATACCGGAGTGAAAATTACGACGCTGCAATGCTGACAGATTCTAAACTTTCCCCAATATTTAAGACCTTTTACTGCTATGCCACCAGAAAAGAGACTGCACAACCTTTTTATCATGGTGAATTGCAAAAAACGCTATAGAAAAATCTCAGCGAGGTCACAGAAAGAGCGCAACCCCTCCCCGTTCTGTGCAAACTAAAAAAAAAAAGAGTTTTGGCTGAAGCCAGGCTTTATGTCACTGATCAGCAATAATAAACTTCGTCAATCACTCACCATACGCAGGTCCTTCCTGTAGTTATTCTTGCGAATAATGTGGCGCAAGCTGCTGAGGGTGGCACGTGCGTTTTTGTTAATTGTGATCTTCTCGTATGATGACACTGGTTTGCGCTGGCCTAAAAAAAGACAAATTCAGGTTAACACTAAAAAAAAAACAACAACATACGTGATCAGCTAATTATAGGCAGAGACTCCACTAACGCTTTCATGTTAAAGTACAACTAAAGGCTTCTGTATGGCAGTCTGATGTACCAAATCCAGTTATGTGATGAACAAGTCTCAAGGTAAAGGTGCCCATACACTGCACGATTCTCGTACGAGAATCGCGGGAAATCCTACTGTACGATCGCACGACTTTTGTATTTCGAGCATGTTGGAAAACCAGCCGAGAAGCGTATGTTTTTCGGTTGGTTTTTAACATGATCGAGAGACAACTGCCGAACGGGCCGTTCTGCTGACTGCCCGTTCAGCATTGCAGTCATCGGAAGCCCGCCCCTCAGGGCGGGCTTGCGATGATCGCAAGTACGATCTGCCTGTCCAAGATGGGCAGATCGTACGTTTTTTTAAGTACTTTACAACCCTCGCAAGACATAAGTCTTGCGAGGGTTGTAGAGTGTATGGGCACCTTAAATCAAACTTCCATTACCTTTCCTGGCTGAGCCAAATCCTCCATTTGTCTCTCACACGCTACCCCTCCCAAACGCTGCAGCTCAGTCAGTTATGCCTATCCATTCAGAAAGCAGAGGGCTGGACAAGGTGTGGCCATGTGCTGGTGGGCAAGCTACAGGCTTGTGAATCAATGACAATACTTATAAGTCAGGCCCCATGCAACTTTTTTTATCCCACTGTAGCGCAAGCAGGCACAATTAAAAATGTTGGTCCGAAATGGTTACCAAAAAGGTAACTTTGACCCCTGAGACTGACGTTATCTGAATACTAGTTCCAGGGCATTATCTGAAAGCACTGAATCCAGAACCATATCAGCCAGGCCATCAGTATTTTCAGGAGAGCTCATCAATGGTTGTATGAAATATTCCTCCAGAGGTTTCTCTAATCACACAGAAAACCAGATTGAATAAATACAACTACTTACCAGCACGCTTTTTCAGGACCACAATGACTCCCTTTCCATCAGCAGCAGGCTCGACACCGACTGTTTTCTTGTGAATCAGACCATTGTAGCGAAAGGAGTTCCTGGCCTTCAGATTGTTTGGCTCCTATATAACAATGAAAATGATCATACTGCTACTTGTTCAAACACAGGAAGTGACTTCAGAACATTCCACACAAAGGTCCACAAACCCACATTTACATATACGACTGGTAAAGAAAAAGCCACCAATTTAGGAGCTCCTAACATCAATAGGTGTTTTTTTAAGCAACGGTCAACTGGGAAAAAAACTGCTCCAGCAAAAGGTTTAATATTTCCCTAGTTGGCAATGAGAGAGTCCTTGGTTTGTGCTTTTAAGAGCTACATTGGTTAAAGAATCTTCACAGTAACTCAGTGGGGGGAAATGATCAAAACTAGGCAGGAAGAATCTGGAGCAGTTGCCCATAGTAACCAATCAGCTTCTCTTTAGTTTGTTCAGTTAAGCTTTGATAATGAAAGGGAGAAGCTGATTGGTTGCCATGCACAGCTGCTCCAGTTTTGATAAATTCCCGTGTGTTGGATGCTGCAGATTTTTCAGCCAAAATATCTCGGAGGGTGAAGAAGGTTTGGACTTGCTGTCTGCAAACGGTACTGACAGTCTATTTGCAGGAGTACTTTTAAAATATATTTTGGCATGTTAAAGATCACTTCAGAGTATTTAACAGTCCCTGCTGTAATGCTGCATAAGCTGTGCCACCAACCACTATGATGGTCTTTAAGCACAGCTTATGAGCCAACAAGGCTCTTTACAGAACAACTCTGGGCAAATTACAAACTAACCCTTGCAGTCAGGCTACCCACACACTGCAAGGGTTAGGTGCTCGTTTTGGTCTAGGCTGTAAAAAAAAAAAAAAAAACACAACATTTCCTCACTCAATTCTTGACCCTGTAGGGCTGTCCTCTCCCCCTCCGCTCCGGCTGTGGTATGTCCTTCGGCGTCCTCACATCCAATGCAAGTGCATGGACTGTATTAAACATGAGGACATCAGCTGGGGAAGACCAGGGAAGAAGAGTGATAAAAAGTGTGTTGAGCACTCCCTCTTGGGATGGCTAAGGAAGTTGAAAGGGAGCAATGCCCTATGTAAAGCTACCCAAAGCATCCAATTTTAAATTGTACTGCTGAAGCAACAAATAGAATGTTCTTGTGCGGCTGCAATTTGAACATCCTTGCTCTATGTACAATCCTTATGACTTGGCCCATGTGTGTAACTAATATAGTAAGAAAAATCTGTGTTCAATAAAACCCAGAGAATCTTAGGTTTAGGTTGCTGGCAAACTAAATTGTACCCCGGCGAGCAGATTGTACACACCAGCGCCTAACCCAAGACAGAGCCGGCCGTCAGCCTGACCACATCTAAAATATCAAAGTAAATGAAGACAGCTGTACTTACAGTGCTGTACACCTGCTTGTTTCTCTTGATGAGGAAACTGGAGGAGTTCCTGATGATCATCCACTGTAAATGAGCAGACATTTTTGACACCTACAAAAACAGATATATTTCAGAACGGTACTTACAATGCAAATATAAGAAAGTTAAGCAGGCAGCTAAAGAAAAATTGAGGATCGCAACAAAAATTAGAAAACTGAACAAAATTGGTTAAAAAATAAAAAAAAAAAGTGACAAAAATATTTTCTCTTCCTTTTTTTGTTACAAGGCCTTGATCCTCTAACACAGCCGGCACCTAAACATTAGAGAAGTTTTTCCACTTAACCAGCTCTCATGATCAACATCCTGATCCCACTTATTCCTGAGCTTCACTACTAGCCCGTCACTGATAAGTGGACTTCCCACAGGTAAAGGTGTTGGACCAGACTGTCAAACATGTTAGAAGTCTGCATAGCAGGGGACCCGGTAAATGAAATTTGGGAGTCATGAGGAAACCTGAACTGACAGACATGCATTGAAAGTTTATCTATCGAAAGCTCCAACTACCTCACTGCCCGGTACTTGGAGATTTCAGCCAGACGGCGTCAAGACTGCAAAACACAAAGACTGACGGAGCTCCTTACAGCTGCAATTTAACAATATTCCGCACCTGGCAAACTCAGTATTCTGAAAACGCTATGCGCACCGCAACGGTACAGAGCTCCAGTCTTTCTGAGCACCGGAAGTGAGGTAGTTGGAGATTTCAACGAGTTGGAGCTTTGGATAGAACACCCCCAACCATCCCTGCAGACCAATGAGTGCTACTGACCTCCCAATTCCTCTTCACTGGGTTTTTAAACAGATTTTTACACATTCACCCAGTTATTCCGATTCATCACCCACCTTTTATAATAAGCATACCTTTCACCCCAGGCTTTTAAAGCGCTCTACTAGGGGTTGGTGATGTCAGTCATCACACAGGATCCTGCAAATCAGAGGACCCCATGGTGACGATCAATGACATAACTAAGTTAGTGATGAAGGAACAAAAACAATTTTTGGAACATTAATTCGATTTGCTAGTAGGTAATGGGGGTCAAGTCGACTGTTTTGAAAGGAAAAAAAAAAAAAGGATGGGATTTTTTTTCCGCGAACCACTGTGGTTTATGTTCAGGGAAACTCCATTCATCCAAAATCAATTATTAAAGTCAAATTGGATCATTCCACACGTCTGATGGATTTACTGAATTTTCTGACAAAACTTTTCAAATGAAAGTTTGTACAAAATCTACCAGTATACGGCCAGCTTTATGCCCCATTCACACTGAGCGTTTTATGCAGCGATATCACTCATTTCCAAACGATATCGCTCAATGTAGCTTCTCCAATCCATTTCAATGGAGCTGTTCACATCTCGCCGCTCAATATCGCTTGTAGTTCGTCGCTCCTACATGACCCTTTTTTTGAGCGATTTTGCTCCTGATTGCATACAGCCCAATAGGAAAAAGTCACTCAATATCGCAAGTCGCTCAGTGTGAATGGGGCCTAAGGCAACTGTCTATTGCGCATGTTTGATCACTTTACTGAGAGGGATGCAACAAACGGATCTTGAATATCAAAGCAAGATCCAAAATTGTCTATACAAATCGGCAGCAGTAGAAACATTCAAGGCGGCAGCAATAGGCAGTACAATAGCAGGGAGAAAAGCTCTACAATCCACACAGGAATTAAAACGCCACCAACCTCTTCCTGACAGGCTGCCCTTTTGCTCTGCTTTTTCTTACAGATTTTCTATACCATCACATGACCAAAGCATTGGCGAGTGCGTCTCTGCAAGACCAACAACACCGCTGAAGCATCACATCATCCCGCTGGAGTCCATAGCTATAAAGGTGTTGTCGGCCACCAGTCGCTGGAGCGTCGCAGTCATGTGACCACATAGAAAACCTGTTAAGAAATGGTAATTAGCAGTTTAGTAGAAGACAGAGCAATGGAGAGCCAACATTTTAGTGGTGTATTTTTGCCTCTTATTCTACTTAAATTCAGCATAGAAACGTGACTGAACACTGATGACACACTGCACTGTATGTATAAGACAGGTCTTCACTATACTAATGGAAACACTTCATTTTAACCAACCCCCCTATAGTTATCGTCCCTCGGTTTATACTAGGTGCTCATATTAGGTTGTCCTGTACACAAAGCAGAGAGGATACAAGGACCAGAATGGGGTCACGTGTCCCTCATACAGCAGGCCGGCCGCCTCTCCGCTCTCACTATGGCAGCGCTTCGCTCTGGGCCTACCGCGCTCCCCCATGTGCTTATATATCTGCCGCCACCCGGCACCATGTACAGAGCTCCCACGGGTTAATGACCATCCGGTATGTCAGTAGACAGCGTCTGGTGTATAGCGGAGCCATCTCCCCGCCACTATAAGCCCCCCATCTCCGGTACGAAAGAGCCACAGACATGGAACACTACCTCACTCCGCTCAGCCAGGAGAAGGAAAGGAAAGGAAAGGGGCGGAGCCTGACCTTATTTCCTTTTCACAAATCACTGGCCACCACGGGATATGATGTAATTACGTTAAAGGCACGACGTAAGAACTGAAGCTGTGGAAGCCATATTTGCAAAGGGCAGCGATACCGTTCGTAGATCGGATGCATGGGTTGTATTGTGGAAGCTGAAAGAAAGAAGGCGTACTAGCTAATCAGAAATGCAAGCAAAAAGAAAATGCGTAATAGTAAATAAAATAAAGAGAGATAGAAAAGTAGGGACTGCAGATATGGGGTTGTATTGTTGTTGCCCTTAGGTTTTTTTTTTCGGTTTTTTGGGTACTTTTCTTGTTTTTGTTCCGTTAGTTGTTTTGGGCTGTGGTTTTATTGTAAATGTTCACAATGTACGGAAAGGAAAAAACAAAACAAATAAATAGTATCTGATAAAAAAAAAGAAATGCAAGCATGCGCAGTGCGGTATGTCACATAAGGCTGTCAATTTAAATGAATAGGCTGCTAAGGGGTAGGCAGAACAGGTGGGCACTACAGAAAGGGCAGGGGGAGACAAAAAGGGCAGGACCTGTAAACTAGCTGAGGTAGTTTACAGCTCATGTGGAGGGGGGTTCACTTTTGCCTTGGGTGTTGAAGCACCTTGTCCCAGCACTCCTGCCGATGCACAGACAACAAAATGAACGTCCAGCATATTGTTTTATGCGTTACAGTGCATTGCAGCACATGTACAGTATGTCAGTGTGCATTGAAAATGAATGGTGTACATTGCAGGACCACGCTGGGGAGGTGTAAATAGGCCCTAATGGCTGTGCCCTGTTCTGTCTGACTGACGCCTATCACCTGGACAAGAATTGATGGGGGCACATGAGGCTTCCTTAATTTATATTACTGCCTGTGCCCCTCTTAGGGGACTTCTTCCTGTGACTCCCATTAGAGAAGGAGGAATCTTCATAATGCAGGCACAAGCAGCAGTTCAATCCTGACAGAGGTTCTAAACTTTGCTTATTCTACCAGAAAATGTTTTAGGCTTTGTGTACATGGGCAGCATGCTGCCCCCTGGCTCTCATGCTGCAATGTCAGCCCCACACATAGTGTGAATTTTGGTCGGTACATTAAAAACCGCCTGAAACTCAGCCAGTGTGTCGGCCCCGCTGGCTGTCAAAATACCTGAACAATCTGATTGGATGCAGGCATTGTTCAGGTGTTATGAGAACCAGCGGGGCTGACTAGCAAGACACTAAGGGGTCTATTCACAAAGCTGCCGAGGTCAGCCGAGTGAATGACCGATCAGAAGTGAGCCGAACACTGTTCGGCTATTCACTTCAGGCTGGTACGGCTGATTTCAGCCGTGCATCGGCTGATTTCAGCCGTACATCGGCTTGCTTCGTGTGGCTTCGGATCAGCCGAACATGCTCAGCATGTTCGGCTGACCCGAAGTGCAGAAGGAGTTCGAATGGTCCAGCAGGAGATTCCTCCAGCCACACAGTTTAGTGTAGATTGAGGAATCTGTTGCACTTTTTCCATTTGACCATAGAAAGTCTGCAGATAATCTGTAGGTGTATGGCCAGCTTTACCTCTCACTACTCTATCCAAAAAATGTTTTGGCTTTAGATACACTTCCCTACGCACCTATTGTCAGTAACTGCAGAAGCAACTCGGGGAATACTACTGTAGGGAATAGATTGGGCTTGAACAATGCAACGTCTCTCTTTTAAGCCTCAAGCTGCCCAGGACCATAGTAAATCTGCAATGTCCAGCAAGAACAAGCACTGGAGATTGATTCTATAAAACAGGAATAGCAGGAGATGCTGATAACACAACCAAATATTCAGGCACAACAAACAAATAGACACTACCAATATTTTTGGTTGTGTTTATTTTAACAATTCCAGGTCTGCATACAGTAGTTGCCATCAGGGTTTCATACACTGAGCAGGAGCCAGGTGTCAAACTAGTAGCAGAGCCCTGCAGATAACACTGGAACTAATGGCTCCCAGACTGGGAAATACGACTGAATTTTACCCGGCCCCAATCGCCCATGTGCATGAGAAATAATCTTGCAAGATCCGCTTTTTAATATATGTGGGACATAAGAGGATAGGATTAATCATACCGCAATATGGAAGCCTTTTTTTTATGTAGAAGAATAATACTCGCTGGGGTAGGCAACCTCAGCACTCCAACTGAGGTGAAACTACAAATCCCATCATGCCTCTGGGAATCATCCCTGTGACTGTTGGTCTTGCTGTGCTTCATGAGATTTGTCTACATCAGCTGCAGGTTCAGCTTCTGTTCAGTGTTTCTGACAATGACCGTTGCTCCTAGGCGCTCTCTTATGACCAAACCCATAAACTTCATCATTCTGCAACTACTGTCAAACTTCTGCCAACTTCCTGCCTCACAGTGATGATGCGACTCCAGTAACAGACTCTCCTGGTTCCAGACTCCGGCTGTTGTACTCATTCATCCTTCTCTCTGCATTCCCAGACCTGGCTCGGCTGACTACCCGCTTTGGTGTCTGACCTCGGGCTTGGATTTACCTATTGTTTGCTATTTTGTTTATTGTCACTTTCAATAAACTTTATTTTTCAACCTGCGCTTTTAGCTTCCATCTGGTTTTTTTGTTCCCTGACAATTTGTAGTTTCAGCATAGCTGGAGTTCCAGGGTTGCCTACCCCTGCACTGAGGCTACACAGTGCTAAGCATGATTAAAACCAAGTAGTAGTGTTGATGTATCTCAAAACCCCCAGACAAGCAGGAGTGGAGAAAAAAGCACTCGTATGGACAAGCACTCATGTGCAGGGAAATTTAAAAAAACAGAGCTTCCCCTTCTAATGCAGTTTGAGTGGATGGATGACGATGTGTGTGTGTGTGGTTTGTTTTGTCCTAGGTTTATGTCTGGATTTTCCGGCTTACACTACATGAAAACAGTGAAGGCAGCCAGTGCAAGGTGTTCAGCTAATTGGGATCCAGTGCCTAGTGAATATTCAGTCATTATGCCCCTGTTCCCTATTGAAGTAATAGGCAGCCTTTTGTCACTATGGGCTAAGTACGCAGACATAAACGATGAAAACGAGAAAGAATGTTTTTAGTTGCTATGGTAACACCATTCTTCTGTTATCAATCACATGAATATTCCACAGAGCACGTACAATGCTGTGCAGGAAAAGTTTCAGCATGTCAGAGGTAAGCTGAAAAGACAGTAGTAGGAGCGCCATTAGCAGTCATTTCAGTCAAAGGATCAGAGTGTATGAAAATGGAAGATGCCAGCACCTTGTCAGCCATGTGCATGCTCCACTAAAGGAAGCCTAGAGGAAACTGCACAAAACAGTAAAGGATTGTTGGCCTATTCTGCAAATATAACTTCTATATGACAAGTGAATATGTTGTAAATAATATCCGACTACAACGCTGTAGAGCTTAAAATATGCTTTTTATATGAAACCTTTGGTTGTTGACTTAAAGGTGAAATGTAAAATGCTTATCTAATTAGCACTGTCATCACATCAGGTCTGTATTCAGTTAAAGGTGAACCTGTGACCAAGCTAAGGGCATTAAAGCATTTATATATTCTTAATATCATCTTAACCCTTTCGCAGCTATGGACATACCTAGTACGTCATTGGCAGCACGGCCCTGTAAACACCTCCCGGGACTCGTCTGTTTACCTTTGTAAAGCAGGCTGCCGGCTTTACAATAGAAGCGATTCTGGCAGCTCAGCTGCTACCAGATCCCATCTATGAGCCGGTAAAGTGCCCGCCCGACACTCCTGCCGTATTTCCCGGGCTCCGCTGCCCATCCTGCGGGCCAGGGACGGGCATGTCAGGTGCCGGTGTTCTATTACTACCCCATGAAATGTCTGGACTTCTGGGGGAATGTGAAGGGAGTCCAGAAATCTCACATGCTACTGCGCATGTGCGGGTCCAGAACTTTTATAGACCCAATGTTCTAACACAATCCCGCATGTGCAGAGATTTTATTTCCGCATCTGTTGACATATAATGTTAATAAAAAGAAAAAATGACTACTAAAATGTAAATAATATATAAGAATAATAAAAGCTAATAATATATATACTATCTATCTATCTATCTATCTATCTATCTATCAACGGTGTTCGAACAGGCCTTCCGCTTCCATATCCCATACGGTGCAGTGTACGGCGAACAATGCGTTCAGAGATCATTTGAGATTAAGATCCGCAGTTATTTGATGCACTGTTGCCCTTCTGTTGTCTTGTACCAGTCTTGCCAGTCAATGTTCTGCCCTAACATTGACTAGTCGCTGACGGCCACAATTCGCACGTTCAGACCCAAATTTTCGGCTGACAGTCCAGTCTTAAAACACTTTAATAACAGCTGCTCTTGAACATTTAACGAATTCAGCTGTTTTGCTGATACTCGCTCCATGGCTCAGAGCGCCAACAATCATTCCACGTTCAAAGGCTGTTAAATCACGTTGTTTACCCATATCTTCAGAAACAAATCACTTCTACTGTCATGGTAAACAACCTGCTTCCCTATTTATAATGGTCTGGCCCTCTAGCAACTTCAGCGCAAAATTATAGCTAATTTGCCTACAAACGTCAGGTGGTCATAATAATCTGGCCACTCAGTGTATATATCGGTGACTTCCTGAAAAGCATCAAAATGTGCCCATGCATAAAGTGCATATAATGTGTTATATTAATCACTGTATAACAAATCAATAAATCAACTGTATAATAAATCTATTCTCCATGAAGTGCTTCAAAACATAATTTTGCTTTCAAAGTCCCGTGCATCAGACTTAAAACACCGTGTTTCAAATCACTCTTGTGCTGTGAAATTGTGATCCTTTCCTTGTGCTTAACCAGTTGACATCCGCGGTGTTAAACCCCCTTCCCATCCAGGCCATTTTTCAGTATTCAGCGCTGCGGTACTTTGACTGACATTTATTCCGTCATGCAGCGCTGTACTGAAATGAATTTTATACCCTTTTTTGGGGACAGATAGAGCTTTCTTTTG